CAAAAGATAAAGAATATTATGAAATGCAAAATGGATAATTTTGATTACATTAAATTAAAAAAGGTTTGGCACAAACACAACCAATGCAAGCAGGATTAGAAGGGAAACAGGAAGTTGGGAAACAATTCTTACAACCAGTGTCTCTGGTTGTAAAACATATAGAGAAATTATTCAAATTTATAAGAATACAAGTCATTCCCCAATTGATAAATAATCAAAGGATAGGAAGAGACAGTTTTCAGATACAGAAATGAGTCAAATTTGTAAGAATACAAGTCATTTCCCAATTGATAAATGGTCAAAGGATATGAATAGGCAGTTTTCAGATGAAAATATTAAAGCTATCTATAGTCATTTGAAAAAATCTCTATAGCATTATTGATTAGAGAAATGCAAATTAAAACAACTCTAAAGTACCATATCACACCTATCAGATTACCTAACATGAAAAAACAGGAAAATGATAAATGTTGGAGATGTGGGAAAATTGGAACATTAATGCATTATGATCCAACCATTCTGGAAAGCAATTTGGAACCATACCCAAAGGGTTATAAAACTGTGCATACCCTTTGATCCAGCAATACCACTACTAGGTCTGTATCTCAAAGAGATCATAAAAATGAGAAAATATGTATAGCAGCCCTTTTTGTGGTGGCAAAGAATTGGAAATTGAGGGGATGCCCCATCAGTTGGGAAATGGCTGAACAAGTTGTGGTATATGAATGTAACGAAATACTATTGTGCTGTAAAAAATGATGAGGAGGCATATTTCAGAAAAACCTGGAAAGACTTGAATGAACTGATGCCAAGTGAACTGAGCAGAACCAGAACATTGTACACAGTAACAGCAACACTGCAGGATGACCAATCTTGATAGACTTGGCTCTTCTCAGCAATGCAATGATGTAAGTCAATTCCAAAAGACTCATGATGGAAAATGTTATCCACAACCAGAGAAAGAACTAAGGAGTCTGAGTGCAAATCAAAGCATGCTATTTTCTTTTTTTTTCTTTCTCATGGTTTTCCCCTTTTGTTCTGATTCTTTTTTCACAACATGACTAATTTAAAATGACTATACATGTATAGCCTATATCAGATTGCATATCATCTTGGAGAGGGAGAGGGGAGAAATTGGAACTCAATTAGAATTCAAAATCTTATAAAAGTGAATGTTGAAAACTAAAAAAAAGTATATTTTTAAAAAGAAAAAAAAACAATGGATGTAATATATTAGAAAGAACATCAAATTATACTCAGAAAACTTTGCCACTTTCTAGCTGTTTGAGCTTTATCAAATCACCTAAATTTGCAAAGTCATCAATAAGTGTTTATTAAGTGCTCAGTATGTACTAGCTACTTAATAATTTTTTGACTTGCTTAACTTAGCAAGTTTGTGTGAAGCCTCAGTATTTTCATATATAAAATGGGGATAATATGTCCTTCCTTTTTTCTAATCAGTATAGAAAGATGATATTGTTAAAGCTACTTTGCAAAACATGAATATATATATATATGCAATTGAATATTATGCAATGAATACATGTAATAACATCATACATATAAAGATATATGTAGAACTATATAGTAAAAAAAAAAGGAAGGGCTTTGGCCACAGTAGCCAAGCAGTGCCCTTCCATTTGCTCATAACATCCTCTATAATGGCAGTACTCTCACCCCAACTAACCACAATATAAGCCACAAGGCCATCTCTCATCCCAGTCTGCCAAGACTTTGCCAAATGTTGTTGTCATTGCTCTAAAATTAGCACCTTCTTACTTCAATGTTGGAATAAAATGAAGGACTCAGAAATCACTGAAAACTGAATGGAGGAAGTTTACTTTGTCCTAACATAGCAAAGATATGCAACAAGGTTACAGTGGTATTTAGATTCTGTGGACTCAGCCCCACTCATATCTATCTGCAAACTTCTCTGGTCAGTTGGTCATCAGGGTTCTTCTAACAAAAATATTGACTCAAGTGGTGTTGGGCACCCACTAAATCTGAGCAGCAGCAAGTACATGGGGTTGGAACCTTTTATGGGTACATCAGGGATACTGGGGCTAATCAGGTTGTGCGTGGGAAAGACAGTTGTGTCAGGGTCAAGGAAGCTGTATCAGAAAACCACTGTTCCTATGATATAGCAGGTACCCCTCAATTTACCTTCAACCTATGACTAAAAACTGTGTGGGGGCCATCTCCAGTCATCCTGATCTATATCTTGCCACTGGACCCAGATGGCTCCAGATGAGAGAGTGAGGCTGGTGACTTTGCACAGCCCTCCCTCACTTAAATCCAATTCACAACAACAACTGCATAGTGAGAAATAAAGCTGCCAGTTGGCATTTGTTCCTATTTTGGTGCCCTGCTATGAATTGGGGACCTCTTCTTGCCCTGGTGCACAGCCTCTCTCTTATGTTGGAGTGCTTATAGTGTGCTCCCTGGCCAGACCCCTTCCCCAGTGTCCACAGACTTTTCTGTCTCCCTATGCCACCCATGAGCAGGAAAAATGACTTACTGCGAATTTTTCTTGGATTTCCCCATCAAGATTCTGACTAGTGTTGTCTAGATCTATTTGAAGGAGAGTTCTTTTTTTTGGGGGGGGGAGGACAGGTGAGAAGTAGAGGAGCACTCTCTGTACTTCTGTATTCCTCATATACTCCCTGACGTGGAAAGTGAGACACCAACAAACTTTAGTTCTAAAAATACTACTTTCTCTAGACTATAAAATATGCACTAAAATTTGTCAGTTCAGAATTCAGAATCATAAAGTTAACTGGCTGACATCCTTAGAGATAGACACTGGTCAAGTTTTTGTCTTTTTGTTGCCAAAGCCTAACATAGTCCATGGATCACAGCAGGTGCTTAATAAATGCTTGATTGATAAATATAAACAAACCACCCTTGTGCAAATAATGAATATACTACTATAATAGGAAAATGAAAAGTATTTCCCAGGTACTGAAAAAAAGTGCTGTGTTATGTCTTTATTAATTACATAAAATAACAGAATATAGTCATGCTGATATCAGGTTAATTGATTTCTCTGGATGACAGGAAAACTACCTTAGGTAGATAAAAACTGTGTAGAGGTAAGGCAAAAGTTTGCCAATTATTTTTTGCAAATAACTAAGCTACTGACTGACCCATACAGGTTGCTACTGGACATTATTGCTATATGGTATGTTCAAAAACTAGGTTAGAACTTTCTAAATGTACTTTTTTCAGGAAAAAGTAATTTTATTTAAATTTTATCAACCCTTTCTAACTTTTCCTCATGTAGAGTTATTTTTAAGCCTTTTAACTGCATATACTATTTCTCTGGTACCCAGAATCACAGTCCAGTATCTTTTTCAATACTTCATAGATTTTTTTGTTCAGGCATCCAAAAGCTGGCCTTCCCACTGGCTGGCCAATTGCTATTACTTTCATTTTCAATTACTTTTGCAGCAAAGGTAAGCTATAGAAATTGTTTTGGAATGTGTAGTACTTTTTTTTTTAAACTTTAAGTAACAAATTTTCATCCTATTAAAATCAGATGTTTCCAAAAGGTTCCTCACTTCAACTCTGACAAAAGGCATTCTGGAAAAGCTTTAGTTTTCTTAATTTATGTAATCCTTCACTGAAAATCTTTTCTGGATCTCAACCACTTCTCTTCTTACCCACTCCCCCAGTAACATGCAAATATACACACCTGTACTCTAAAAATGTCATCCTTATCTCAACCCAAATGGACATTTAAAGATAGAAATTTTAAAGGAGGTAAAATAGAAAAATCTGTTTCATGTGAAATTGTACTGTATTGTAATTGAAGCTGACACAAGACAGCAAAATCTCCCAGGACAGCAGCAACTTCTTGGCTCTAAGACAAGGGTTCTTAACCTTTTTTGCATCATGAACTGGGCAGTCTGACGAACCGTACAGCCCCCTTCTCAGAAAAATGCTTTTAAATGCATGAAGTAAAATACATAGGATTATAAAGAAAACCAAAGGTTAGTGAAAATAATGACGAATTTTTTTCCTTCCAAGTTCTGCCACTCCCTGAAATCTGTCCATGGACCCCAGGTTAAGATCGTCTATCTTGGGAAATACAGTGCCTTTCCTCTAGAATTAAGGGTCACTGACGTCTAAGTAAGGTGAGTTTAAGGCTGATCATTATAGGATTGCTTTTGCCCCAACCAACTCCCCAATGATAAGGGCGGAGAGGGAAAGGAAGGAGAGGGAAGAGAGGTAAAGAGGTAGGGAGATGAAGGGCAGGGAAGAGAAGGAGAAAAGGAAAAACGACGAGAAGGAAAAGGAAGGAGAAAGAGAAGGGAGAAGAGGGATGAAGGAAAGGGGAAAGGAAAGAAGTGAGAGAGAAGGGACAGAGAAATGGAAAAGTAAAGAAGGAAGGGAAGGCGATGGGAAAGAAGGAAAGGAAAAAAGGGAGGAAAAAGAGGGTAGTGAGAAGGGGAGAAAGGGAAGAGTTAGGAAAAGGAAGGAAAGGGAATGAGAAAGGAAGAAAAGAGAAGATAGACAAAAAAGAAAAGGAAAAGAGGAAAAGAAAGGGATGAAGGAAGAAAAGACGAAGGGGAAAGGAAGGGAAGGAGAAAAAAGAAGAGAAAGAATATGGAGAAGAAAAGGGAAAAAGAGAGTTAAGAGGGGAAATGGGAGGGTAGGGGGGAAATGGGAGGGTAAGGGGAAAGAGGAAGAAAAAATGAAGGAAGAGAAGGAAAGAGGAGGAGGAAGGAAAGGGCGAAGGGGGAAAGAGGAAAGGGGAAGGGAAAAAGCAGAAGGAAAGGAAAGGGGGAAGGGAAGAGGGAAGGGCAGAGGCAAGAGAAGGGGCGGCCGCTCTCGCTCGCAGGCCAGCCGCGCGCAGCAGCCACCGCCCCCGGCTTGGCCACTGAGAGCGGACGAGGGACGCCCCGCGCTAAGACACCACCCCTAGCCCGGGAAGGGGCGGTCTCGAGGACCTCGACCACCCCGGCCCCGCCCCCGGCCTTGGCCCCGGCCCCCCCTACCTGTCCCTCAGCGCGCCCTGGAGGCGGCCCAGCTTCTCGTAGTAGTCGGGGCCCGGAAAGGGGCCCCGCGCCGAGCCCTGCGCCATGGCGCGCGCCCCCGCCGCGCCGAGTCCGCCTGCGTTACCGGGAGAGCCTAAGCGACCGCCCCGGCATGCTCTGCGGCACAGCTAGTCCCTCCCTCCCGCGCGGGAGGGGGCCGGGGGCGTGGGGGGTGGTGCTAGGCTACTACAGGCAGGGCTGGGGGACGCAGCAGCTTCCTGAGCTCTAACCCCGCGCCTCCCTTCCCAGGAGCAGGAGCGGAGCCGGGGCTGTGGATGAACTGCCCCTCTGCTGTCTACTTTGTCTTGTGCATCTCATGTTCAGCTTGTCCACACACGTGAAAGTGGAGTGGGAGCGAGGGGGGGGACACTGCCGTCAGCATTGCACCGTGCTGTCTTGGGGCCAAGCCACCACTCTTGGTCTACTTGACCCCAGAAGGCAGAACCGCCGGCCTACTTGCTGTTCCTCAATTGCCCAGCCCTGGCCATTTTCTCTGGCTGTCCCCCACGGCCTGGAAAGCCCTCCCTCTTCATCTCTGCTTTCCCGGCATCCCTGGTTTCCTTCCAGTCCCAGCTAAAATCTCACCTTCTACTAGAAGTCTTTCCTAAGCTGCCTTCACTCTTTTCTTTATTTCCATTTTCTCTTGTATATATATAGCTTGCTTGTACGTAGTTGTTTGCAGCCATTAGGCTGTGAACTTGAGCAAGGACTGCCTTTTGTTTTTCTTTGTAGTGCCTGGCACGTAGGTACTCAATAAATGCTTTTTGACTGATCAGTGAGTGAGTACAGAAATCCATCTTAAGGCCAGATCTACATAGTAGCAATTACCCTGATAATTCAGGGTTGTGATTTGTGGTTGTGGTTGTGGTTTGTTCTCTTTCTGGAAAAGGACCTTGACATCAGGGAGATGATGGTTTACTTGCAATTGACTTTGATTTGAGTGCAGGGTCACCAGCCTCACTTTCTCCTCCAGTGCCCTCTGGGTCCAGTGGCCAGATATAGATCAGGACGACTGGAGATGACCCAGGATGCAGTAGTGGGAGACATTGCTTAAAAAGGCTAAAGTCTTTTCAGGTTCTCTTTGAGTGAGGCAGCACCCATTCAGTGAATAGGCTTCTTTAATGGGTGGCCTTTTAATAAAAAAAAAAATCAAACTAGGAGGTGAACACCCACAGATTTGCTGGCCGAAAGAAAAACAGTTACTATTTACATTCACTATGAACCAGGAGAGCCCCCCAAAAAAAGTGGTGCTTAGGCAGGGACATATTGTCTAATCAGTGAGATCTAGGGTGAAGTGGGTTTAATGCTTGTTCTTTGAGAAAGTAAGCTAGCCAGTAAACCTCAAGTTAGCCTTCAGCCATCAAAATTTACCTTCATTTGGGCAGAACACTGTCAGGTAAGGGTGTGATGTCCCATTTGAGGAAAGGAGAGAAGAGGAGAGGAGAGGAGAAGACGGGAGGGAATGTTCTGAGTTGCCCAACTGGAACTGGCCAGGTGAACTGACATTTGGGCAGTTCGGACTATGCACAGATTGTTATTTGTCTTTCCTTCTCGAAGAGGACTATGGCATCAGGGAGATGATGACATGACTTGCAACTGAATTGGATTCAAGTGAGGGAGGGCTGTGCAGGATCACCGCCTCACTTTATCCTCCAGAGCCATCTGGGTCCAGTGGCCAGATATCAATCAGGATGACCAGAGATGGCCCAGCAATTCAAGATATTGAATATACTGGGAAGAATCTTCCACCAGTGGAATGTAAGCCCCTTGAGGGCAGAGATTTGTCTTTCAATTTATGTCTAGACTTAGTGCCTCACACATAATAGGCACTTAAGTACTAGGCAGGTTAGACATAGGTCACAGTCTTTAAGTGTCTTAGTAAAAGATCTAGAGTTACTTTGATCAAAAAAGTAAGCACCCCAAAAAAAGCATATGAAATCTACTACTGACCTATACTCAAAAGCTTCCCACCCCATGCCCCTAGTTTACCTGCTTAGCTTTGCATTTTAGAGGTATGGGTAGAATCACCTCTAGTTCACCATGAAAGCTTTAGAGGAGGACGTAAGTAGTTTGGATGCCATTAAGCCCATTTCACAGATGAGAAACAAAGCTGAGAGCAGGCCTGCACAACATACACACACCTGTGAAAAACGTAGGGTTGCCACTGCACACTCTCCTGTCTGTCATGTGACCCAAGGCAACTAACCATCATCTGTCTGTCTCTAGTCTAACCTGTCTGCAGCCTGAAGAAGTTTACAAGTTGTGCAGGTCTGGCTTAGCAATTTCCACAGGTAGCTAATGATGGAGCTGCAATTCAAACCCACATCTTTATTTTTATTTGCTAAGCCTCTTAAATTCATTGAAGTAAATGTCTCTATTAAAGTGTCTCCTGCATAAACTTTTGTTGTTATTTCAGTTATGTCAGACTCTTCATGACCCCGTTTGGAAGTTTTCTTGGCAAAGATAGAGTGTTTTGCCATCTCTTTCTCTAGCTCTCATTTTACATTTGAGGAAACTGAGGCAAACACGGTTAAGTGACTTGCCCAGGGTCACACAGCTACTAAGTCTCTAAGGCCAGATTTTAACTCAGGAAGATATCTTCCTAACTCCAGGCCCAGTACTCTATCCACTTTGCCAAAAGATTGGCCAAGAACTGCATCATATGTCTATGGCTACAGAAGTTCTTAGCCAAACAAGAGATAGAGGTTTGTTATCACAAAGAATTAAATAAATTAGTTTGATTAAATGAAATTGAAAAGCTTTTTTTTCAGGAACAAAATCAATACCAGTAGGATAAGAAGAGAAGTTGCCAGTTAGGGGGGAAAAAACTTTACTTCAAATTTCTCAAGTTTTTTATATCTAAGATATATAGGTAACTAACACAAAGGTCAAGAGCTATTCCTCAATGGATAAATGGTCAGAAGATATAAAGTTCTCAAAAGAATTATAAAATAATAACAATCAAATGAAAGATTGTTCTGAATCATTAATAATAACAGAAATACAGATCAGAACAACTCTGAGATTTTGCCTTACACCCAAGAAATCAACAAAGGTGACAAAAGATGGGGTTAGCAAATGTTAGGAGGGTATAGAAATATAGGCATATCAATGCACTTGGTGGTGCTGTAAATAAATTGGTTCAATCATTTGGAAAACACTTTACTCAGAAAGTTACTAAAATGTTCATACTTTTTAAAAAGTCTCAGAGATCCCACTGCTATAGGAATATACTCTAAGGAAGTAAAAGCTAGGAAAAAAGCTCCCATATAAAACAAAAATATTTAAAGCTCTACTACTTGGTGTGGCAAAGAACAAAACAAAGTGGATGTGTATGGTTTGAGGAATGACTAAATGAATTGTCATATTGAATGTAATGAGGCATTACTATGTTATAAGAAACGAGGGATCGGGAGGATACAGAGAAGTATAGGAAGACGTAGGAACTGAAGCAAAGTCAAGTTAACAAAACCAGGAAAATAATACACACAATAGCTACAACAATGCAAATGGAAACAACAGCAAAGAAATAATACTCAGCCTCGAAGAAGAGAGGTGAAATTGCACCTCTCTTGTCCTTCATTGTAGAGGTGGGGAAAAATAGGTATGGAACTTGGCATATATGATCAACTCAGTAAATGTGTCATTTAGTTTTATGCTTTTTTCTCCACTTCTCTAATTTATGATAATGAATGGACCTAGTGGAAAAGGGGAGAAGGGAGAGAGGTATATATCTTTGGAAATAAAAAGATGTCAACTTTTTTTAAAGTATCTCCACCTAATTGGCAATTAAGTTTAACCCACAGTTGCTTTAATAAACTTTCCTGACTAGGCTGTGAAAAAAGGGCTCTAAATAGCTACAAGATCCAATCCTCAATAACCAAAATAAACACCCTGATTTCTGGATAAAAATATATAGTGCAATAACTCTGATAATTTAGGTAAAAGTAGGGTTTTGTTTGAACTACCGCAGTAATTGCATCAAACTTCTTTGTTTCAGTTTATATAGACCTGGCTAGAAGATGCTTACAAATGTCCTCTAGTCACAAGCTGGACCCAGACTTTGTAAATCATGAAACTGCTAAATATTTTGATTTTCTCTATAAAATATGTCTAGTGTCACTTTGCTTATAAAGTTCTTTGAGATTCTAAGATGGGAGACACTGTATAAATTTGCATGAAATGATTCAAGATAGCTTTTCTGCTTTCAATATCATAGAAATAGCTTCTGTTCAAACTCTATCCTTTCAGTGATTGATGTTCCACTGAAAATCTCTATTATGTTGGTGGAATTAGCACAGAATGGCAGTTTTCTTAGGTCTTTTAAAAAATTGTAAAATAAATGGAAATTCTGGTATCCCCTTAGCCATATAACTATATGCTTATGAAATCAGAAATACATATATTTTTAGAATAAATGTTTAGGTTATCATGCAATCAATAAAGACATTTAACAAAGTATAAACTGATGAACACATAGAATTTCTTTAAATAAAATGAACACAGTTAAAAAATATCTTGCATTCGAATAGTGCTTTTAAAAATAACTTTTACATAGACTACTTTATGTTTATAAGAATTCCTTGAGGTAAGGCAGTTATTATTTTCCTCATTTTACAGATGGGCAAACAGGCACAGAACAGTAAAATGGCATGCCCAACGTCCCAAGACTGTTAAGTGGCAAGAAGAGGGACACAACCTAGGTTTCCAAACTATTAACCCAGTGGGGAGTTTTTTTCTCTATTATTATATTTGTTTACACTTATTTAGTATATATTTTGTATTCCCTTATGTGTGTGCATATTATTTTCACTGAAAAAAAAAGTGAGATCTTTAAGGGCAGGAACAGTTTCATTTTTATCTTTTTATTCCCAGTGCCTGAGGGCACATAATAGTCAGTCGATAAATATTTTATTAAGCACCTACTATGTGCCAGGCACTGTACTAAGTGCTGGGAATATAAATACAAATTTTTAAAAACACAATTCCTGCCCTCAAAGAGCTTACAATTTAATGGGGAAAGATAACATATAAAAATAACATATAAAAGGAAGCTGAAAAGGAAGGGGGGCAAGTGGAAGAAGAGG